AGAAGGCTATGGAGGACAGTGGGAGCCCAAAACCCATCTGCAGAGTCAGATTAAGGTGTGGCAGACCCCCACTAGCCACAAGCAAGAGCCTCGAACAGGCTTACTATCAGAGATCATTGTAATCTTAATTATGCTGGATCGAACTTGATACTTGGTCAGTTTGACCTCCCTATTGACCAAACCTGAATTTGTTCTAGTGCAAGTTATCTCTTGCATGTTCCATGACAAAAATTTCTCCTGGTTTTTTAAATATTGAGGACGGTCTTTGATAGTCATTATTATTTTATCCTTGCCACTTTGTTTTGTTTTTGTTTCTTACTGTTTTGCTTGTGTTTCTCAGTGTGCTGCACAGAAGGAGTGGGCACATAGAATAACTGTTGCAAGGGTTTACAGGGGATGTAGAGGTAAGGAATCGGTATAGGGAGGATGAGGGGATTTGGGGGAGTAAGCAATGATAGTGACTGCACAACTCATTTTAAAGGTGATTTAACCATGCAGGGAAAATGTCCCAAAATTGACTGTGGTGATGATTGTATGTAATTTTTCTTGATATAATTGAATTGTATATCTGGATTAGGTGCCAATAAAAATGTTTTTTTAAAAAGAAAGAAACCTTTGGAGCATTTTAGAAGTGAAATAAAAGTATCTTGAATTCAAAAAAAAAGATTTAGAGCCTCAGAAACCCACAAAGGCAATTCTCTTCAGTCCTATAGAGTCTATGTGAGTCTGAATTGACTCAATGACAGTGAGTTGGTTGGTTTGTGATCATTGGTAGGAAAACAAACAGCTCTTTTGGCTCTTGAAGTTCTACTGAAGGATTGGCTATTTTTGTTTTAATATTGGTGTTTTTATTTACCCAAAAAGAGAGAAGTGGTTGAGATAATTTCTAAATATCTTTCTTCCTGTTATAATAGATGTTAGAATTTTTCAGAGATACAAGACCAACTGTCAGGTCCCCCCTCCACCCCACCCCCGGTGTTTGTGGAGTTAGCCAATGGTGACCCACATTGGTGTACATTTCTTACCTAGGTGAAGGTTTGTTGAATGAAAACTATATATTGCTTCAAATCAAATATATGGTCCAGACACAGACGGTTACACAGAAAGAACTTCCTTCCAGATTGTGATAATGGAGCATTGGGACTTCTGTAATGTACTTGTAATCAAAAGAAAGGACTTGAACTGACTTGAAAATAAGTTTTTCCTCTTCAGGAGTATTTGGATTTCAATTCTTTAGAACCTGTAAGGATCACAGCTTCTGGTGAGAAGTAGACTAGAGATAAATCTAATTCTGCGGTGTAGTGTACTGGCTGTATGACTTGAAGCACATCTAACCCTCGACTCTGCTTCTTAGAATTCTAAGAATACAGTGAGTTCATCAACGGTGCCTGCATCTAGTAAGCGCAATAAATAAATGCTCTGTAGTTGTCACATGGTTCTTAAAGAGATCTGGGGCTCAAAAACTTCGTGTGTGTACACACACACACACACACACACACACACACACACGGCTGTGGGTACAAGACACCTGATTGGCTGGTAACCTTTGCTCTCATGATTCGTATGTTATTATTGTCCTGATGGAGCAGTAGGTTACTCATTGGCTGTGAACTGAAAGATCGGTGGTTTCAACCTGTCAGCCACTCCATGGGAGAAAGTGCTTCCATAAAGATGTACTACCTTAGAAGCCTTGCTGTATCTTAAATATTAGGTTTCTATCAGTCAAAACGGACTCCGTGATAGTTGATAGTAGGGACGGGGTGTTTTAGTTTTTGGGTTAGTTAGGTAGTCTCCAATGAGGAAGCCATAGAGATGTGTTTCTTTGCACTGGCCAGTATGTGCTATGGGATTGAGTTCCATATCAACCCTACCCTCAGAAATGCATTAGTAAGTTACAAGTTAGAACAATTGTCGTACCTGAATTAAAAATCTTTGCAAACCAGAAAATTCACTGCCATTGACTTGGATTTTGACTCAGTTGGTTTTGAACTGCCAGTCTTGTAGTTAGTAGTCATGCTTACCTGACAATGCCCCCAGGTTTCCTTAGAAATCTTTAGAGTTAATCTTTCAATAATAAATATGATAAATCATAAACTCCAAAATAATCAGCTCCATGTGTGTGCTATAAAATTACTTGTTGGTATTTGTGTATGTATTTGATTATTCTCACTAGCTAGATTATGTGCCTGTCTGAGCTACGATACTTTGGCATGGGTAAAATTGTCAAACTATTTCCCTAACTTTCCCATTAAAATAGTAGTTGTTAAGTGACTTATCATTTCAATAAAGACAGGGTTTCTCTAAATATCAATAATCCTGGTTCCAATGCTGACTATTCTTTCAGATTCTGCTGAACTAACAAATAACATTTTAATTTTTCCTCGGAGATTTTTATATATTTACTCTCACGTTGTTTTTCAGGCAGATGAGGAACTGCATTAGCAAAACTGTTGCTAGGTTGTTTAGGTTCAAATCATGACTTTGGTAGATCAAATCCTGCCATTTAAGTTTTGAATAATTTCTCTTTGCCACAGTTTGCTCCCTCATCTATAAAATGAGTGTGATGATGACATAATAACTGCTGTAGAGTAATATGCATTGTATGTTAGTTCCCTTTTTATTTTTAAAATGGGAGTTAAATTATTAGCTCCAAGGCAGGTGTGTATTCAATGGGTTTAAACTAATTCTTCCTGTTAAATTGGAGATGGCGTTTAATGGGCGTGGAAAAGAGACCACCAAACTACCCTCCCTTTCCTCTTCAGATGCCCTCCTATTGCTGGAATGATTACACTCACCCACTACTTGGGGTGGCTCACCATACCACCCACCTGACATTCCTAGCTCTCTTTGAATTTAAGCCTCATGGAGCTTCAGCTCCTGTAAGTACCCTTGGAAGCTGCAAAGGGGAAAATGACCCTATTCCTGCTATATCATACTGCCACTTTAGGAACTTGTGATTCCCTGAGGATTATCGGTGGTGGGGCTATAAAACAGCTTTTAGTAGATTATTCCAAAGCACTTAGAGAAGACTTAACCTGCATGATCTTCCAGTCCATTTAGTAGAGATCCTTGTGGTTTGTTCTGTCAAGCAAGTGAAATGATAAATATAAGCTAAAAGCTTATACCGTAATTAAACTTCCATTTATAGAAGGCCATGCGAGTTAGGTAAATTTGAGTCCATTTCAGAATCCTTTGACTTCATTCTGCTCATCAAAAAATACATTTGTCCCTTTTGTTGCTCATTCTACCACATCAGGGTGTGGTAGGAAAGTAGAACAACCACGAGAAGCTGTGTAACACCAGTCAGGAAAGTGTTAGGATGTACAACCTCGGACCTAGGTGAATAGGGCAGGTTTATTCCCTGAGCATCCGCAATTTTAAGTGCAGGTGCACTTAAAACTACTTTACAGTTTGGGGAGAAACAACAGAAGAAAGATATCAGGTATAAGAATAACAATCACCGTGCTTTTACTAGGACTTTAGAGGAAGTTACAATGGCGACCATTTTTCTAGCTTGCCATCTTTTCTGGATAAGAATAATTAAGGGACTTAATCGTAGTCACAGGAATTCTGACAAGTTCGAGGAGTTTTAGAATAATGATGAGAATAATGTGATTCTTCAACACCACAATTTTGAAAGCATATTCTCATCTCTTTACATAGTCCCCACATGGGACAGTAATGAATGATGCTCAAAGGGACAGAAATGTGTTCAATTTAATAATTCTTAGGAGGAGGCACCTTTCCAAATAATTTCTTTTGGAAGAAAATGGTTTTCTTCTCATTGCTGAGAATGCCATCATTACTTGGAAAGAACTGGCAACAGGTAGAGAAGGGTATACTTTTTTTTAATCCAGAACTATTTCAGTCTTTATATATGTGTATGTATATATAGATAAATGAAGGCTTTGTTGTATACGATGAAAAATTGAGTCTCCTAGATCACCACTCTTCAGAGCCACTACTGTTAGCTGTTTATTTACAATTAAATATATCCTAGAAGTATGTGAACATGAGAGTATCTGTGTGTGAAAGGGGGGGAAGTATATGTTATATGTGCTATTCTACACCCTTTAGATTTTTATTTCATAATAGTACATATAACACTTTTTTTAAAGAACTGCATAATTTTCTATCAAAAAAGTGTGAGGCTGGGTTGTCTAGAGAAGCAAAACCAGTGACACTCGTGTGTATAAGAAAGAAAAAGAAGGAAGTTTATATCGAGAGCATTCCAGCCCAACGCAAGTGTAAGGGTCTGGTGCTAGTCAGAATCCTCTTCAGGCTACAGGTGAAGCTCATGGGCTGGTAGTATGTGGGGGGTTTGTGTGGATCCAAGGTTGGAAACATGGCAGGGTGCAGGTTGACTTCCAGGGTCAGTGGCCCACATAGGACCACTCTGAAAGCAGACATAGAGGCCCAGCAAGCAAAGAGGGTAAAAGGGCAGAGAGGGAGGGAGAAGTGCCTACTTTCTCCCTACCCCACCCCCACCTGCTTATGAAAAGGCCACACCCCCAGGAAGCATCACAAAGCCAGCACTTGAATTGACAGGCTGGACTACACACACAGGTACCATCAAGTTGACATAAAATCTTAACTGCTAAATTTTCCAATATATTTAACCTGTCCTTTTGTGATTTAAAAAAACAACAACTACCATCAAGTTCAATTCCCACGCCTACCCCCTTATTGGTGGATATCTATTATTTCAACTTGTCTGCTCATAAAACACTGCAGGAGTAAAAGTGATGTATGTCTTCAGGTCAGCCTCAGTCAGCTAAATTCCTAGATCAGGTATTATTAAAGAGTGTGTACTTATTAGATTTTGGTAGATTACTTTCATTTACTTGCAAGTACTTTCATTTACTTGCAAGCCTGTGTGTCCGAAAAAAACTCCCTTGGTGTTTATGGGAAAACATATCCCTCTTAAAGCACTATTGTAGAATGAGACTTGGTTTGAGGACAATGGAACTTACATACTTTCTCTCCTTTTCACCTTGAAGCCTGTGCCTACAGCGCTGGCTCAGGTGGACAGAGAGAAGATATACCAGTGGATCAATGAGCTGTCCAGCCCTGAGACACGGGAAAATGCTTTGTTGGAGCTGAGTAAGAAGCGAGAGTCTGTTCCTGACCTGGCGCCCATGCTGTGGCATTCATTTGGTACTATCGCAGCACTTTTACAGGTGAGTGTGTCTGAGGAGTAGCAGCTCACTCCTACTCATGTTCATCACTGTCTTTGCCCAAATGATTTTGAAGACTTTCAGAGGAGGATTCCTTAAATGTTAAGCATTCATAAAAATCTGTTTCGGCACCATCAGCTTTCTTCACCACATTTGCTTATGCACCTGCTTTGTCTTCAGCAATCGTGTCGGGAAGGTGAACATCATGGAATGCTAGGTTGAGGGAGTACTTGAATAGAGAGAGACCCAATGTCCAGAAGCTGAAGGTGCCTG